GCTCTATAAACTTTCACCCAAATCACAATAAAAACATAAAAAATAAAAAAATACGTTTTAAAAAAGCAACAGCAGCAGTGTGCTGGTTAAGAGCACACACTGCCCAGCACCACTTTCCAATCCTATGCCATCAGGCAACTTGTGCGTTCTGTGTTACCCACGTACTTCTCTATGTTGCTGTTAGATGCCGTCGAGTCATCTCCGACTCATAGCGACCCTATGCACAGCAGAACAAAACACCGCCTGGGCCTGCACCAGCTCCGCGATCCCTGCTGTACTTGAGCCCATCACCGCAGCCACTGTGCCACTGTGTCAATCCATCCTTCCCCTCTTTCGTCGACCCTCCACCCTACCAAGCATGACATCCTTCTCCAGGGAATGGCCCCTTCTGACAACATGACCAAAGTAGGTGAGATGAAGTCTGGCCATTCTCGCTTCCAAGGAGCATTCCAGCCGCACTTCCTCCAGGACAGATCTGTTAGTTCTTTTAGCAGTCCATGGTACTTTCAGCATTCTTTTTCAGCACCACAACTCAAAAGCATCAACTCTTCTTCAGTCTTCCTTATTCACTGTCCAGCTCTCATATGCATATGAGACAACTGAAAATATCATGGCTTGTGCCATCAGGTGCACCTTAGTCCTCAAGGAGAAAACTTTGGTTCTCAGCACTTGAAAGAGGTCCTTTGCAGCTGACTTGCCCAGTGCTACACATCGTCTAATGTCCTGACTGCTGCCTCCATCATCTGATGTCCTGACTGCTGCCTCCATTGGTGTCAATTGTAGAACCAAGCAATGTGAAGTGCTTGACAACTTCAGTCTTCTCTCCATTTATCATGATGCTGCTTACAGGTCCAGTTATGAGGATTTTTGTTTTCTTTATATTGAGATGTAATCCATACTGCAGACTGTATTTTTCAATCTTCATCAGTAAGTGCTTCAAATCATCCTCACTTTCAGCAAGCAAAGTTGTGTCATCAGCATATCACAAATTGTTAATGATTCTTCCTCCAATCTTGATACCACATTCTTCTTCACATAGTCCAGCTTCTTGTATTATTTGCTCAGCATACAGATTGAATAAGTATGCTGAAAAGATACAACCCTGATGCATTCCCTTCTTGATTTTAAACCAGCCTCCTGGTCTAGGTACAGGTTCCTCATGAGCTCAATTAAGTGTTCTGGAATTCCCATTCTTCTCAATGTTATCCACAATTTGTTACGATTCACACAATCAAATGCTTTTGCATAGTTGATAAAACTCAAGTAAACATCTTTCTGGTATCCTTTGCTTTGAGCCAAGATCCATTTGACAGAAGTTATGATATCCTTACTTCTCTATAGCATGGGGCCAATAATAGTCTCTGTCAAATTTCTATTGTGTTTTACTGACTATGCAAAGCATTCTACTGTGTGGATCATAACAAATTATGGATAATTTGTTATGTATACAGAAACCTGTACATAGACCAACAGGTTGTTGTTTGAACAGAACATAGGGATACAGTACAGTTTAAAACCAGGAAGGATGTGCATCAGGCTTCTATTTTTTCACCATACTTATTCAATCTGTATGCTGAGAAAATAATCTGAGAAGGCAGACTATAAGAAGAAGAATGAAACATCAAAACTGGAGGAAGACTCATTAACAACCTGAAAGCTGTAGATAACACAACCTTGCTGGCTGAAAGTGAAGATGACGTGAAACATTTACTGATAAAGATCAAAGACTATAGCCTTCAGTATGAGTATACAACTCAACATAGAACAAAAATCCTCACAACTTGACTAATAAGCAACATCATAGTAAAAGGAGAAAAGACTGAAGTTGTCAAACATTCCATTTCACTTGGATCCAGAATCAACACCCAGGGAAGCAGTAATCAAGAAATCAGAAATAGTACAACACTGGGCAATTTGCCGCAAGGGACCACTTTAAAGTGCTAAACAGTAAAGAGTAGTGATGTTGCTTTGAAGATTAAGATGCACGTACCCCAAATCGTGATACTTTCAATCACCTCATATACATGTGAAACTTGGACAATGAATAAGCAAGATCAAAGAAGAGTTGATGCCTCTAAATTGTGGTGCTGGTGAAGAATACTGAAAACACCATGGACTACCAGAAGAATTCAGAGGATATCTGAAGAATAGATTTGATGCACTGAACACCAATGACCAAAAACCAGGCAAACTGGGAATAGCATCAAGAACATCATCTATGAAGAAAGCAAAAGGTCATTAAAAAGGCAAGAAAAGACCAAAATGGATGTCAGAAGAGACTCTGAAACTTGCTCTTGAATGGAGAGCAGCTAAAGCAAATGGAAGAAATGACAAGATAAAAGAGATGAATAGCAGATTTCAAAGAGCTATTAGAGAAGACAAAGTCAATTACTGTAATGAAACGTGCAAAGACCTGGAGTTAGAAAACCAAAGGGAAGAACATGCTTGGTATTTCTCAAGCTGAAAAGAACTGAAGAAAAAATTCAAGCCTCAAATTGCAGTATCAATAGATTTCATGGGTAAAATACTAAATGATGCAGGAAACATCAAAAGAAGATGAAAGGAATACATAGTCACTGTACCAAAAAGAACTGGTCAATGATCATCCATTTCAGGAGGTGGCATATGACCAAGAACCGATGGTACTGAAGGAAGAAGTCAAAGCTGCACTGAAGGAACTGGTGAAGAACAAGCCCTCCAGGAATTGATGGAATACCCACTGAGATGGTTTAACAAATGGATGTCGTGCTGGAGGAAGTTACTCATCTATGTCAAGAGATTTGGAAGACAGCTACCTGGCCAACTGACTGGAAGAGCTCCCCATTTGTACCCATTCCAAAGAAAGGTGATCCCGCAGCATGTGGAAATTTCAAACAATATCATTTAACATCACATGCAAGTAAAATCTTACTGAAGATAATTGGAAAACGGATGCAGCAGAATATTGACAGGGAACTTCCAGAAATTCAAGCTGGATTCAGAAAAGGATGTGGAACAAGGGATATCACTGCTGATGTCAGATGGATCTTGGCTCAAAGCAACGAGTACCAGAAAGATGTTGTGTTAGGGTGGATTCTCTAGAGAAGCAAAACCAGTAAAGCTTATATATACAGAGAAAGAGAAATTTATCTTAGGAAAATGGCTCACACACTTATAGAAGCTGGCAAGTCCCAAGTTCTTCGATCAAATGTCAAGTTGGAGGCTTTTCCCGACTCACCCAGCTATAGGGGCTGACGAGCTCAAGGTTGGCAGGCAGGATACCAGCTCTTCATGCCAACAAATGACAAATCCAAGATCACCAGGCCGAATGGTGGATTGTTCACTCAGGGACAGTTTTAGGCAGCACAAGAGGATCCCGATCCACAGAAGAGTGTCTCATTTTCCCAGGATGTCCATGAATACATTGGAACCAGGCCACACCCCTAGGGCAACACCCTTTCAATGGACTGGATGCTCAAAACATATACAAGTCTGATCTCACTATGGGAATAACCCACATCACAATTGTTTAAATCACTCAGAATTGTGGTCCAGTCAAATTGACACACAATTCCAATCATCACAGATGTCTACCTATATTTTACTGACTATGCAAAAGCCTTCTATTGTGTGGATCACAACAAATTATGGATAACATCGAGAAGATTAGGAATTCCAGAACACTTAATTGAACTCATCAGGAACCTGTACATAGACCAGGAGGCTGTTGTTCAAACAAAACAAGGGGATGCTGCATGGTTTAAAATAAGAAAGGGGGTGTGTCAGGGTTGTATCCTTTTACCATACTTATTCAATCTATACGCTGAGCAAATAATCTGAGAAGCTGGACTATAAGAAGAACACGGTGTCAGAATTGAAGGAAGACTGCTTAACAACCTGTGATATGCACATGACACGACCTTGCCTGCTGAAAACGAAGGTGACTTGAAGCACTTAGTGATGAAGATTAAACACTACACTCTGCAGTATGGATTATGCCTCAACATAAAGAAAATGAAAATCCTCACAACTGGACCAATAAGCAGCACCGTGATAGATGGAGAAAAGACTGAGGTTGTCAAAGATTTCTTATTACTTGGTTCCACAATCAATACCAATGGAAGCAGCAGTCAAGAAATCAGACAACATACTGCACTGGACAAATCTGCTGCAAAAGACCTCTTTAAAGTGCCAAAGAGTGAAGATGTCTCTCTGAAGACTAAGGTACACCTAACCCAAACCATGGTGTTTTCAATTGCCTCATATGCATGTGAAAGTTGGATAATGAATATGGAAGATGGAAGAAGAGTTGATGTTTTTCAATTGTGGCATTGGCAAAGAATACTGAAAGCACCGTGGACTGCCAGAAGAATGAACAAAACTGTCCTGGAAGAAGTGCATCTGGAATGCTCCTTGGAAGTGAGAATGGCCAGACTTCATCTCACTTACTTTGGTCATGCTGTCAGAAGGGACCACTCCCTGGAGTGCTTGGTAAAGTGGAGGGTCAGTGAAAAAGGGAAAGACCCTCAATGAGATGGACTGACACAGTGGCTGCAATGATAGGCTCAGTTATAGCAAAGATTATGAGGATGTTGCACGACCTGGCAGTGTTTCTTTCTGCTGTACACAGGTTCACTATGACTCGCAGCTGACTCTACAGCACCTAGCAATATCCATTAAACTGATGTGAAGTTTCAAATAATTATTATGAGCACTTGGTACTTGGCATGTATTAAACAATCAATAAATATTAGTTATTATTATTATTAGGGTCAGAATCTTAAGAAAACATGGTACAAGGTTGAATTGGCATAGTGTCCAGGTCATTAACAGACCATGAAAGCACTGTTTTTATGAAAACGGTATCTGACCATGGAAATAATAAAATGTTATTCACTATAAGACTATATATACAAGCTAGGGAAACTCCCAAGTTGTTTTGTTTTGTTTTAATGATCCTTAGAATCCCGTGATAAAGAAAACCTGTAAAGCCTACCACAAATATATTTGTTGTGTATTGCTATTGGGTATCAAGACTCACCTGAAAGTAAGAAACTTCTGAAGCACCATCTGAAGAAACCTCTGTGACCACTGATAATGATTTCAGATCACTTGATAAACATAATGCAAGGCAAGTACCAGCAATCTGTAAAACATTCAACCCCTCAAATACTCAGTATTATCAACACAGGAGGAGTTTCCATAGAGCTTAACCAAGTAGAAACACATACACCTGGCTCCTGCCATGCACATCTAGCAGATGACAGTGGGCATCCACCTACATGGTCCTTCCTAATCACCAGAACACACACACATTCCCCCAAGGTCCCAAATCTTTGTTGGAGAACCAACACATTCCACACAGTGTACTGTATTTTCTACCTCCTTAGGGAATGCTAAGAGTAAAGACAAAAGAGCTATGGAGAAGACTGAGACTTCACAACTGCGGCTGAGTTGGTACCAAGCATAAGATTGTTTCTGATGACTTGCACCACATTCCAATCACAAACTATAGCTCTTATCTATCACAGGCTAGTAAACGCTAAATCATCATCAAGTGTATTACAGCAATTTTTTTTGGTTTAAAAAAAAAAAATAGCAACTTAGTAACTAAAGTCTTCTAATAGCCCCCAATCTTTACAGATATCATTTCACTATTTTATCTTAGTAAGAAAATTATACTTTTAACAGTTAAGAACTTATCTCAACAGCTGAAACTGAAAAAAGAAGTTTTCTTTTTTTTTACATAAATCAATTAATTGTCACATTCTCAGAAAAATGACATAGAAAATTTTTAAGAACTTACCCCTGTGACTCGAGCAATTTTGAACATTCCATAAGCATAAAGCTCAATGAACCCAGAACTTCCTCCAAGGACAAGAATATTCAGCCTAATTAAAAATAATGCAACAAGCTAAGGGCCAATCAACAACAGAGCTGACCACATTCCTAAACCAAGATCTGAATTGTCACTGTTGTCATTTAACCTACAGGTGAACACTCTCCTGCAGGGAGAACTGAAACACCCCTGCAAACCCACCACTCATCCTCCACTTTCCATCACCTTGGGCTGATTCCATCTTCTCTAAAGGAAGAACATAAATTTCACCTAGCTTAAAAAAATCAGTTTAGAGCAAATTAAGAATATATTATTTTAACAACAATTGTATTGCTATTCTCTCAATAACACAATAATGCTTTCTCCAACTTATACCAGTACCATCTGTCTTATTGAGGCTACAGTACTCAATCTGCTAATGAGCTTAAAGAACTTGAATACTTACTAAATTTTAGAAACTCTCTCCTCCTTTACTTATGATACAAGGTTATTAAGACTTGCCACAATGAAAGATCATACAATGAAAACTAGTAAGTAACAGAAAGTAATGTCTGTATATTGTTCAGAGCTGCTAATGTCAGCAAGGTAGTAACAGAACAAATAAGGGACTCACTCTTGACATTGTCTCAAATATTAAACATCAACTTTAAGAAACTAGACTTGCTACATAAGATATATACAAGTTTTACCTGACATCTCCCAAGAGCTTAATAATTTCTTCAGAATTTTCTTCACTAAAATACAAACAAAAAGGTTATTTTTCAACCACACGTAAAATAATAAAAGATTACCTTACTTGAAAAAAAAGAAAAAAAGGCCTATCTTACCTAAATATTTTTGATGTGTTGCTGTAACTACAGAAAAACATAGATTAGGATAAGAAACAGTCAATAAAAATTTATTTTAAAACACTTATAAACTGTCACATAAATGTTAAGAGTAAATGGGAAAAAATCTGCAAAATTAATTCCAAAGAAATTAAATTCTGAAACTTACTTTTTTGGCAACGTTGGGAGTTTAGGCAAGAGGAGATTTGACTCATCCTCAGCATTGTAGAAAGATGTTAGGACACTAGAAAGGAAACAAAGAGACATTACCAAACACCAAAGATTTCACTTCTCTTTCCACCGAAAAATGTTAATTTTGAAAAAGATGCCCAGTTTTCAGGAATCATGCAGACGAGAAGACAATGGGATGGTATATATAAAACCCTGAAAGAGAAAAATTTCCAACCAAGAATCATTTTCCCAGCAAAATTGTCCCTCAAATATGATGGTGAAATTAGGACATTTCAAGATAAGCAGACATTAAGGGAATTTGTTAAAACCAAACCAACCTTACAAGAGATGCTAAAGGGAGTCCTTTGGACAGAGAGGCAACACAGCCAACAACAGAACATTAACACACATGATGATATAACCCAGAAACCAACCCAGCTATGGAAGTATCCACAGTAAATAAGCCTGTAAACAGGGAACCAGAGACATCAATTGACAAATGAGGACAACTACAAACCAAAGATAGGGATGTCAAGACAACTACAAGATAGAATGGACTGTTACAAACTTGGGAAAAAAACTATAAATCACAGGGTAACATCAAAGAAAAATGATAAACCTTCACATCAAAATAAAAAAGAGGCCCAGAACAAATATTTAGCAAATACTAAAACGATATCAACAAAGGAAGTGATAACACAAATTATAAACAAAATGAGCTCAGCATAGAAAATTATATGGAACAAAGAAATCAACACCACAAAAAAGCACATAACAAAAATGACAGCAACAAATTCATGTTTGCTGATAATTTCATATCTGGCAAGGGACTTATCTCTAAGATTTATAGAAAACTCCAACGTCTCAACAGCAAAGGAATTAACAAACCAATTGAAAAATGGGCAGAAGACATGAGTAGACACTTCACCAAGGAGGATATTCAGGTGGCCAGCAAATACATGAAGAGATGCTCACAATCACTGGCCATCAGAGAGATGCAAATCCAAACAACGAGATACCATCTGCAAAAAGGGCAAGGAGGCCACATCTCCTGACGTCCTCTAGCCCAAGAGGAAGACAGAATCACCATCAATAGCAAGGCCTATTACTGCAAGGCCAGCCACCCTGCCTCCCTCCAACCCTTTCACCAACCATTCCTGCCCAAGCACCCACCACCTCTCTCCTGGGTTCGATAATTCGCTGCAGTGGCCACAGAACTCACAGATTATGGGGTTTATTAGGAAAGCACCAGGCTACAATTCAAGTTCAGGAAAAACATGCAGTCTCTCTCCCAGCCCACAGTCTCTCTCCTAACAGTCTCTCAGTCTCTCTCCCAACAATGCGTATTAATAATATCATTAATATCACACACAAGTAAAATCTTACTGAAGATAATTCAAAAACAGTTGCAGCAGTATATTGACAGAGAACTTCCAGAAATGCAAGCTGGATTCAGGAGAAGATGTGGAACAAGGGATATCATTGCTGATGTCAGATGGATCTTGGCTCAAAGCAAAGAATACCAAAAAGATGTTTACTTGTATTTTACTGACTAAACAAAAGCATTTGAATGTGTGTTTCATAACAAATTATGAATAACATTGAGAGGAACGAGAATTCCTCTCGTTCCTCTCAATGTTATTCATAATTTGTTATGAAACACACATTAATTGTACTCATGAGGAACCTGTACAGAGACCAGATGGCTGTCACGCGAACAGAAGAGGACACAGCATGGTTTAAAATCAAGAAGGGAGTGCATCAGGATTGTATCCTTTCCCCATACTTATTCAGTCTGTATGCTGAGCAAATAATCCAAGAAGCTGGACTATAAGAAGAAGAATGTGGCATCAGAATTGGAGGGAGAATCCTTAATAACCTGCGATATGGAGATGACACAATTTTCCTTGCTGAAAGTGAGGATGACTTGAAGCACTTACCGATGAAGATTGAGGAACACAGTCTGCAGAATGGAATACATCTCAGTATAAAGAAAACAAAAATCCTCACAATAAATGGAGAAAAGATTGAAGTCGTCAAAGACTTCATGTTGCTTGGTTCTACTGTCGACGCCAATGAAAGCAGCAGTGAGGACATGAGACAACGTATAGCACTGGGCAAAACAGCTGCAAAGGACCTCTTTCAAGTGCTGAAGAGCAAAGATGTCTCCTTGAGGACTAAGGTGTGCCTGACACAAACATGACATTTTCAGTCGCCTCATATGCAAGTAAGAGCTGGACAATGAATACGGGAGACCAAAGAAGAGTCAGTGCTTTTGAGTTGTGGTGCTGGTGAAGAATGCTGAAATTACTGTGGACTGCTAAAAGAACTAACAAATCTGTCCTGGAAGAAGTGTAGCTGGAATGGTCCTTGGAAGCAGCAATGGCCAGACTTCGTCTCACCTACTTTGGTCATGTCAGAAGGGACCATGCCCTGGAGAAAGATGTCATGCTTGGTAAGGTAGAGGGTCAACGAGAGAGGGGATAGGTCCTCAACAAGATGGACTGACCTGGTGGCTATGGCAGTGGGCTCAAGTATAGCCAGAACCCTGGAGCTGGTGTGGGACCGGGCAGTGTTTCTTTCTGCTGTGCGTAGGGTCACTGTGAGTTGGAGATGACTCTACGACACCTAACAATAACACAACCCATTCATAGGAGATCTGGTGGCATAATGCCTAAGGCATTTGACTGCTAACCAGAAGGCAGTTAAAACCCACCAGCCACTCCTCAGAAGGAAGTTTGGCATTCATATTTAAGATCCATTTTTTCTTTGGATTCATTGTTCTTGTTGAATTTTAAGATACTCTTTATGTTAAGGGAAATATTTTCAGTATCTCACTCAGCAATGAGTGTCTCTTACATCTCTTTCCCAGAAGCGCATATCTCTTTCAGCAGTACATCTTCTTCAAACAGCAGTCAGAGAGAGACTTCTTTTGCCTCTAGGAGGCCTCCTTTTGAGCCCGGCAGAGGGGCCAAACTAACCAATCATAACATCAGAATTCTAAGACCTGAGAGAGAGCAGGAACCTCCCAGAACATTGCTTTGTGTTGCGCCCAACAGATATACCCCAGGTGGATAACTTTTACAATCAGGAGCTCCTCAGTTGCTCACAGAAAATTCCACCACAGAGTTTACAAAGACTTATGGATAGAAAAGCCACACTAAGTAATTTACTACACCATACCATCACACCCCAGTACTGATGGCAAGGTTCAATGAGACAGAAAATAACAAATGCTGGGGGTTTGTGGAGAGATTGGGACTCTTATACACTGCTGGTGGGACAGTGAAGTGATATAGCCACTGTGGAAAGCAATATGGTGATTCCTTAGAAAGCTAGAATTGGAGATACCATTTGACACAGCAATTCCATTACCAGGTATATATCCTAGAGAGGTGAGAGCCAAGATAGAACAGATATATGCACACTTATGTTCATCGCAGCACTATTTACAATAGCAAAAAGATGGAAATGTCCTACGTGCCCATCAGCAGAAGACTGGATGACCAAACTATGGTACATACATATAATGGAATGCTATGCAGCACTAAAGAATAATATTGAGTCTGCAAAACACCACATAATATGGATGAACTTGGAGGACATTATGCTGAGTGAAATAAGTCAATCACAGAAGGACAAATACAGTATTAGTTCATTGTTGTGGAGGGTCAA